TGAGTGAATTCAAATAGCGCATAATTACAACATATTATTACTGTATGCTAACTATTGCAAGCACGTGGCATTGTAGGCTTTGCACTGGAACGTCGGGTATTGTCCAACGATGCTGAGCTTGAAATTGGGCTGGCTATGCCTTATCCATTTGAAGCCTATAAGCTAGCTTTAGACATACATGCTTTAAACATATACATCAAGGCAAAGCACGGAACATGGTGCCTCCTAGCCCAAGCTGAGAATTCTTTGAAAGCAGCATGGAGCTGCTTCTCCTCTGTTCCTCCAGGCCACGTGTTCTTGAGCACCAGCACCCTAAGGGTGGATCCCACCATCCAACTCAACACACCCAAGTTCAGGGTGTGCATACTGCACCATCGTATCTGATTGTGATCGAAGTTGCGGATTTGCATTAGCATGCCTTAGAGGGCAAATACAATCATCCATGCATGTACCGGAATGCACCACACCACTAATCATAACGCGGCAGCACTGATCAGTTGGCAAGTTACAATCCCAGGGCCGACAGGCCGCAGAGGCGAAGTTCTCAGCACTACGCCGGGGATACATGACAGCTGGCACAGAAGCATAGGACTCCTTTCTGGCAAAGCAGTGGTGGCAAATAGAACTGCTGTTCCAGGCAACTCTGAGTCCCATCCATTCCTTGGCAATGCACAAGTAGCTGGCATGAACTTTACATACCTATGCCCCCCAAACCTCTGAACCTTAAACCCCTTAAGCCCCTACAGCCTTAAACCCTAGATCCCTAAACGGACAAAGCCCTAAACCCTCAACACCTAACGGTCCCCCGAATCCCTACGCCCTGCGCCCCTAAACCAATCGATCAAACCCTAGAACCTTTTAATAAAGAGCCCCTAAACCAATCAAACCATCGACCTTTCAAGCCCCAAATTTTAAAAGCCCAACCCCCAAACCCGCTCAACCTTAAACCCTGGAAGCCCTAAAATCCCGAAATACCCAAGTCCAACTGGAGGTGCTGCATACCATGCCGGCCAGGGGTGCTGCTGACTGTGTAGCCCTCATTTAATATTTCTATGTAACATGATATAGTCGCGTATTGGGCCATATAGGATAGTGTCAAGGCTTAACAGTCAGTAGCACCCCTGATGGAGAACGACTCAATGATCCACAGGCCAGGGGCAGAGGGTAATTTTATTAGTTGCAGCTAGGGACCTTCTGCCACTTCCAATCACCCCTGTACTCAACGACCGCGCAATATATGCGCTTGCTTTTCCCACATGGCAGTTTCACGAGAAGGCCCTCGTCAAAAATCTTGTTCAAAGATTTCACAACCTTGGGCAAGCATTTGACAGTTAGAATACATTATTACGAATATAAAAATTCATGCAATCAAGTGGCTGGACCCAAGAAAGCATTCATAGTCTGTGGGCCAGCACTTCTTGCCTTTCATTGCAGGTGGCTTTTGGCATTTAGGGGGTTTGTGGGTCAGGTTAGCAGGTAGCAATTGCCGCTCATATAATTAGTTAACAGTAAAGTGTGGGCCCAGGCACATGTTGGTAGACAAACAAAGGCCAACAGTAATGAAGAGCATTCTTGCCTGTTTCAAGTACACGGCCGCAGGAAACTGCACATAGCTTGTCCTGCTGCGTACATTGAGCATCGTCGCCCCACAAATAGAGGGGATGCATTCCTGCAGCCCCCTTATCAGGGATTTGTCTAGACCCCATGTGCTCCCAATAATCTTTGACCTCTTGGTCAGCATCATCATCAACTGGGAATAGGCCACGTTCCACTAGCCAGGGGATAATGTCCTCTGGCAGGAGAATCGGTTCTGACCTTATTAAACCATAATCTAGTGTCATGGGTCTGACAACACGCGCGTAATGCCTGAACTTTAGGCGAGAGGCTCCTGCACCACAGCATCATCAGAATTTCGCATTGGAACATCGCATTTGTTCAGCGGCACCTTATAAGGTTAGGGAGCGCAACTAAAGTTGCCGGTGGTAGAGCAAACCCAAGCTTAATTGAATGATCAAATTATGTGCAAGCCAGCTTCCCCAAACTTTCGACACTTGCGAAGCATGTTCCTCTGGTGGTTGGACGACCATTTGGTAGAACCGTTCATGAGATCTCGCACCGGGCCCTGCATCTCCACCCCATGTTCATGAAGCTCCTGTGTTGGGTTGGTAGCCTATAGGTAATAATATCATCAATCTCACCTTCGGGTCCTATTGCAGCCCCCCAAACCCTTTCTTGTCATAAGCCGGGAGTTGTCAACCCTTAGCATCCACTCTCCTCTCGCACAGCTTCCAACATCTCCCGCGCCCCTGTGCACGATGTTGCCTTGGCAGGCGGCAGCAAGAAATGACGATCTTGGATACAGGCATCCAGCAGGTTTCGGGTATGGATCGATTAAACCATTTAGGACTTTAGAGCTTAATTAGGGTGTAAGGATATTAGTGATTAGGGTATAGGATGAGGGTCTAGGGTTAAGGGCTTAGGGTTCAGGACTGGCTAAAGGTTTAGGATTTGGGGATTCAGTTTAATTAGGGTTCGAAGTGTAGAGTTTGAAGCATAGTCTCGCAGCTGAATCTGGTTTTCAGGTTGCAGGAAATTAAACATTCTTGCGGACCCAATCTAAATAGTATAGACACAAACCCTAAACCCTAAGCCCTAGACCCCAAAACCCTAAACCCAAACCCCTATACCCCTAAACACTTAAACCCTAAACCCCTAAACCCTAAACCCTAGGGGTCAAAATTGTTAATTAGAGTGGTCCCTTTGAATTTGGGTGGTGGCTGTACGTATAGGGGACAATATATAATATTTCAGGACGGAAGAAAGCCATAAATTCAAGAACTTCACACGTCAACTGGCTTAGATCTACATTTTGTTGGAGTCCCTCAAAGTTGATTGATTTAGTCG